CAACATCCTCCACAACTAGATTGAAGAACAAAACGACAGCAACTTGTCTGTTCCCCTTTCCCCAATTCCCCAGCACTGTTCCCATCCCCGCAATTCCCCAATAAAAATCTTTAAAAAAAAAGAAAAGCCAATGGGCAAAGTGAAAATTTAGGGAAGTGGATACTGTTGGGGATATGGCAGCTGGGCAGTGTGGGGACCTTCAAGGACACTAAAAAGTTGGATTTCTGAAATGGTGTAATGGGTTCACATGCATTCATTTAATTGTGTAATAAGCTAGGGTTAGCATAAATATTCCCTTATGAATGAAATATTTAATTTTTAAAATCAACACACACACACACACACACACACACGAGAAAAAAAATGTAAGCACTCTGAAAACTGATTCCCATTCAAGAGAGCTGTTGATTTTGCAATTGCTTAGGAGCAGAAAGAATGAGTATATCTTCTCCTTTTAACTACATTTAGTCTGTAACAAGATCCTCTTTCCTTTTAATATTTGAAGTTTGTTTCCTTTTTATAATTATCTCGAAACCCCTCCCTTACAATTTATCTCATTTTTACTTTTTTAAAAAACTAAATTGGTGACATTAGTTAATAAAATTATATACGTTTCAAGTGTACAATTCTATAATACATCATCTATATATTGCATTGTGTGCTCATCACCCAAAGTCAAGTTTCCTTCTGTCACCATCTATGTGACCCCTTTTACCTCTTCCTTCCCCTTTACCCTCTGGTAACCACTGAACTCTTGTCTCTGTCTATGAGTAAATTTGTCTTGTGTGTTCATTTTTTGCTTTCAGTTTTATATCCCACATGAGTGAAATCATACGGTTTTTTTGCTTTTTCCATGTGCTTAGGTATTTCGCTTAGCATGATATTCTCAAGGTCCATCCATGTTGTAACAAATGGCAGTATTTCATCTTTCCTTATGGCCAAGTAATATTCCATTGTATATATGTACCACATTTTTATCCAATCATTTATCGAAGGACACTTTGGTTTGTTTCCATGTCTTGGTCACCATGAATAATGCTGCAATGAACATAGTGGTACATATATCTTTACAGATAAATATTTTCAGATTTTGGGGGTAGATACCCAGAAGAGGGATTGCTGGGTCATATGGTAATTTTTTTTCTCAATATTTTGATGAACCTCCATACTGTTTCCCATAGTGGCTGTACCAATTTACATTTCCACCAGCAGTGTATGAGGGTTCCTTTTGCTCCACAGCCTCTCCAACATTTGTTGTTACTTATCTTGTTGATAATAGACATTCTAACAAGTGTGAGGTGGTACCTCATTGTGGTTTTCATTTGCATTTTCCTAATCACTAGTGAAGTTGAGCATCTTCTCATATGCCTATTGGCTGTTTGTAGGTCTCCTTGGGAGAAGTGTCTGTTCAGGTCCTCTGCCCATTTTTTAATTGGATTGTTTGTTTTTTGCTGTTGAGTTGTATGAGTTCTTCATATATTTTGGATATTAGCACCTTATCATAAGTGTTGTTTACAAATATCTTCTTCCATTTGGTTGGTTGCCTCTTTGTTTTGTTGATGGTTTCTTTTGCTGTGCATAAGCTTTTTACTTTTTTTTAACATCAAAATCCTGTTTTATTTTTTCCCAGTGGCCAAGTTTTATCTGCTCTTCCTAGAACCTCTAGGCAAATTCAAATTCTGCAGAATCTTACTACAACATATGAGGTAATTTTTCCCTCATTTATCTTTATATTGATTTTATTTTGTGGAAGTATTATGTGCCATGTTCTCTCCTATATGTTGTCTAACATATATAGCTGGTATAAACCCCTCTTCTTACAGCCTTCTCCCCCTTTCCATAATCACATGATTTTGCTGGTTTCCAAAATTAAACCTTCATTTGTGTTCCTGGCTTTTCAGCCAACTCCATAATAGTACCTTGGGATTAAAAGTGTGTACTTACAAGGTCTATGAAAACAGACGTCCAATGGCACTTTGCTTATAAAACAATGGTTTTTAACTAAGAAGTAAACATCAAAAACACAAGTGAAAATTTATTAAAATTTTCATGGGTGGGACCATCTTCTCAGAATGCCTAAGGTGTAGAAAATTGGTAAGAGTTACAAAATATCATAGTAGAAAATTGATGGCTCCATGTTAGTCAGTTAGGTTTCCCCAAGAAGCAGACCATATTAAAGATGTGAGAGATTTTCTAGGGAAAATGCTTGTGAAGGATGAAGAGGAGGGGGCTGGAGAAGGCAGGGAGCACCCTCACACCATGTTGCAGCTCTGACACCTGTGCGGAAAGGAAGACTGTGTATGGACAAGCTCTAGACTGCAAGGTAGTTCCAAAGGAGGTTTGGCTGGACCAGTGGTGAGTCCTTAAGCCAAAGTCACCTGTAAGAGGAAACTCATAAGTAGCAGGAATGGACCTGTTGTATTAATAGACCCACAGTGCTGAATCACTGGCTGACTGCAGCCCTGGAGTAGCATGGCTTCAGCCTCTGGTGGATCAAAAGGGGGAACGGGTGGGAAGGTCAGTCACCTCTGCCTTTCCTAACAGAAGAACTGAGCAGTGAATTTTTACAGCCTCCACCCCATGGACAGAGGAAATACCACCAGAGGAAGCATTGGAGATATAGAATTCCATTCTTGGTCTGCCACTTCCTAGATGTGTGATTTTAGACAAGTTAGCTATGAGCCTTAATTTCTTCATCTGAACAACGAAAATAATGACACTTGCCTAGTCTATATTAAAGTGTTACTATAATGATAAAAGGAAATCAGTGTGAAAATGCTTTGAAAAAGTGCAGTAAAATAGAAAAAAATGTAAGTAATTTTGGAAGGCATCATTACCCAAAGTTTATAATTAGACCAAAACACAAGAACACTGGCATGATAATAACATCGGCAATATAGAATTTTTATTAAAGAAAATGACTAATCAGCTTTTTAGACAAAATTTTATTTCTCTTCTAAACATCTGACTTACACATCGAGTTTTACAACTGGGCCATAAATATATTCATTCACTCATTCATTCATTTTCTCTTCAAATGTTTATTGAGTACCTACTATGTCCCAGGCCCTTTTTAGCAACTGGGGTTACAGAGAAGAATAAAACAAGCTCCCTGAAAAATAAATGTTTATAATGCCATGTGTGTGAATGAAGACCAGGGGCCAGGAAATGTCTTTTCCATTCCCCTAATAGACACAATTTTCCTATTTTATCTATAGATGAAAACGATATGAACAACCATTTTTTGTTTTATCTATTTTTCCCCTTGAAACTGCAGATTGTTATGTGGCAGCCGGTAACAGCTGAATTTATCGAGAAGAAAAAAGCAGTACATTTTTTTGTGAATGCATCTGATATAAGCAGTGTGAAAGCCCATTTAAATGAGAGCACAATTTCATTCAGGTAGGCATCATTCAATATTTATTGAATAGCTATCATAAGCATCTATGATGCATTTGACTAATAGATGGTATAATTGCTTCCTGGAAAAACTAATATTTACATTAGACACGGCAACGTGGAAATCTCTGAAGTGGACTGGTGATGAAGCCCAAGTACCTAACTCTGTGACCTTGAACAAGTGGTTTAATCTCTCCTGACCTTGCTCCCTTATCTCAAAATGACAGACTCAATGGTCTATGGAGCCTCTTCTAGTTCCTTCTAATTCTTTCCTTCTTATAGTTTCACTAGTCTGTACCCAGACTTGAGGAACAAAATTGTCATTCACTTCAGTAGACTTTAGTAGAATTCAAAAAAGCAGCTGGTGAAGAGGATTTTGCTTCCTTCACAAGGTCAGTGAACATTCCTGAAAGTCTAAAAGGTGTATCAAATGTGATTTCTGTGCAGAGTCCACACCCTCTTCCTTTTGGAGTCTCCCATCCAACATCTCTTCTCTGTATCCATTGCCCAAGTGCCAGTGTCCTCTCGCTGCTCTAGCATTTCTTGGAGGCCATGCTCTCTTCTCTGTATCATGGGCACCCTCAGGAGAGTACACTATGATAATTATTAATAATATGTTATAGGTGTTTACTGCCTTCTAGGAACTGTGCTGAGCCTTTTTATACATTGTATCATTTAATTCTTATTTAACCCTGTGAGGTAAGCACTCACTTCATTGTTCAGATGAAAAAGTTTTTGAAACTCACAAATGAATTTCTCAAGGTCAACCAAGCCAAAACATGGCAGAGCTAGGAGTTGAATTCATACCTTTCTGATGTCAAAGCCTTGGTTTTTATCTATTGGACTAAATAAAAGTAAAGAAGCCTTTATTAAAATAATAGCTAACTTTTAAATTGTTCATCCCAGTTAATTATATGGCTTAATTCAGTTAAAATTTTTGCCTAGCTAACAGCGTGGCACTTGTCAAGGGACATTAAATAGATGACTTTACTGTGCCTTCCCTTTTCCTGTGCTTCTAGTTCTCTAGAGATGTGATCATCTTTGGCGATGCAGAACATCTAATATAGGTTAACAGTTGTCACAGTGGAAAACAAAAAGAAAAGGCTTTTTGCTTCTCCTTGGTTCCTAACTGAAAAGAGAATAATACAATGTTACTCTAAATTGAAGAAAGCTATCCACTAACCTATATTTCCACATAAAAGACACTGATGAAGCACAATCAAGCAATGTTGATAACAGTGGGAGAAGGGTGAGATTTTGGAGGCCCTCAAAACATTACCACATAGGAGTCACTTTCTTTCCAGGGCCCATGAGGGCTCTACCAAGAGGGTTTGTGAATTTCAGCTTACCACACTGTTAGGTGGTATTGTTTTCATCTTGATGAACTTTTGCTTGTTAGATTTCTAGTGCTCACCTGTTGGGGTTGCAATGGGCCATGTGGGAAAAACCAGAGCCCTTTTTGGAAACCAGCTTGCCCTCTGTTTCATCACCTAGTGTCTTGATGGAAGACGTGGGAGACATTATCCATCAGCAGACTTCCAAGGACAGAGTCAGCCCCCGGGCCTCCTCCTCATACTATGAAAATTATCACTCACTAGATGAAGTAAGCCATCGCATTTCTCTCCAAAATTACTATTTTCATTTAACCAGCATTTCCATTTCAACCACAGGAAATTATTAAAGTATCATAATTGGTGGAAGATGGTAAAAAAAAATACCACAATTAGGTTGATCATACAGTGGTAATTCATCGTTTTGTAGATATCTTCTCTGGGAAGATTGCTTCATATTTGGTAAACTCCCTCTAAGCAGGCTGTTTGTCCACAGCTAAGAGTATCTCTAACTGCTAGGAGTAAACTGCATGCGAAGCAAGAGCAGGAAATAAAAAATAGGGTCTTTTTATTGAAACTGCCACAAAAAAATTAACAGTTTAATCATCATGTCTCCTTGGACCATAACTCTGATTGTACTCTTACTGAATGATTTCCACATTATTGACTGAATTAAATACATTTATTCAATTATTTAGTACACTATAAATAAGTCCATCTTATTCCCCTTAGGAAGAAATTATTGAAGTAATAATAATAATAATAATAATAATAATAATAATAATAATGTCTGTGTTTTATTCATTACAAAATTGATTTTTTTCCTGTTAGTACTTACAGGTTCCAATTTTTCCAGAAGAAACCTGAGGAAGATGTCAATGTTCAGTTGACCTCAATAAACTCATAAAATACTCTAAGAGCCATTTCCCCATATTTGTTAGTTGAAAGAATAAACCCCTTAGAGGACTTTTTTTTAAATAATTTTTTATTTTTTAATTTCAGTTCACATACAATATTATATTAGTTTCAGGTGTACAACACAGTAATTAGACATTTATATAACTTATGAACTGATCACCCCAATAAACCTAGTACCAATCTGACACAATAGAGTTATTACAATATTATTGACTATATTCCTTATGCTATAGCCTACATCCTCATGACTATTGAGTAACAACCAATTTGTACTTCTTACTCCCTTCCCCTTTTTTACTCACTCCCAACCTCCTCTCCTATCTGGCAACCATCAAAATGTTCGTGTACCTATGAGTTTGTTTCTGTTTTGTTTGTTTATTTTGTTCTTTAGATTCCACATATAAGCAAGATCACAGTACATCTGTCTTTCTGTGTCTTGCACTCCACTCCAGGTCCATCCATGCAACCACAAATGGCAAGAACCCATTCCCCTCCATGGCCAAGCAATATTCCATTGTATATATGTATCACCTTACCTTTATCCATATCCATCAACAGACACCCAGGCTGCCTCCACATCTTGGCCATTGTAAACAATGCTGCAATGAACATGTGGATGCATTCATCCTCTCGAAGTAATATTTTGGGTTTCTTTGGATAAATACCCAAAAGTGGGATTACTAAATCCTTCTTTGTCTTTTGTTACAGCCTTTATTTGAAGTCTATTTTGTCTTGTATAAGTATTGCTGCCTTAGTTTTTTGTTTGTTTCCATTTTCATGAAACAACTCTTTCCCATCCCTTTACTTTCAGTCTGTGTGTACCTTTCGATCTGAAGTGAATCTCTTATAGGCAGCATCTGTAAGGGTCTTGTTTTCTTATCATTCAGCCACCTTAGTTTTGATTGAAGCATTTAACCCATTTACACTTAAAGTAATTGTTGATATGTAGTTATTGCCATTTTAGTATTCATATTTTTTATCTTTTTTATCTTAAAGAAATTCTTCTAACATTTCTTGTTATACTGATTTGAAGGTGATGAACTCCTTTAACTTTTTCTTGTCTGGGAAGTTCTTTATCTTTCCTTCCCTAGGTAGAGTAATCTTGTTTGTAGGTTCTTGCTTTACATCACTTTGAATATTTTGTGCCAACCCCTTCTGGCCTGCAAAGTTTCTGTTGAGAAATCAGTTGACAATCTTATGGGAACTCTCTTGTAGGTCATTAGCTGCTTTTTTCTTGCTGCTTTTAAGATTCTCTCTTTGTCTTTAACGTTTGGCATTTTAATTATGATTGTCTTGGTGTTGGCCTCTTTGGGTTCATCTTGTTTGGAACTCTCTGTGTTCTTGTATATCTATTTCTTTCTCCATATTAGGGAGGTTTTCCATCATTATTTATTCAAATAGGTTTTCAGTTTCTTGCTCCTCTCTCTTCTCCTTTATAATGGGAATGTTGGTATGCTTGATGTTGTGTCAGAGGCGCCCTAAACTGTCCTCATTTTTTTGCTTTTTTTTTTCTTTTTGCTGTTTGTGCGTTTTCTGCTACTTTAATTTCTGATTCTCTGATTTGACCCTCTGCTTCATCTACTGTTGAATTTCTCTAATGTATTTTTCATTTCAGTTATTGTAGTCTTTATTTTTGACTGGTTCTTTTTTGTTTTCTATCTCTATTTTTATGTTTCCTAGGTTTTTGGGTTTTTTGGTTTTTTTTTGAAGTTCTCCCTGAGATCATTGAGCATCCTTATAACCAGTGTTTGGAACTCTGCATCTGGTAGTTTGCTTGTCTCCATTTTGTTTAGTTTTTTCTTTTTCTGGAGCTTTGTTCTGTTCTTTTATTTGGGACATGTTTCTTTGTCTCCCCATTTTGGCTGCCTCCTGTGTTTGTTTCTATGTATTAACTACCGTATTTGCTGGCGTATAAGATGATTTTTTGGCCCTGAAAAATATGCCTCCAAGTGGGGGGTCGTCTTATACGCCAGGTACACTTCAGATAGACTGCCCATAGTGCTTGCCCCGTGCCATAGTGGCCTCCCGATGCCCACCCACTTCATTCCACATACCGTTCAGGCATCAGCAGCGCTGCTGGGTGTATGCTCGGCTGTTATGCGATTTTGCTGTTATGCGATTTTACCACACTCGCAAAATCGCACACAGCCGACCATACACCCAGTATGATAGCACAAAATCACGAATCGCGATACCATACTGGGTGTATGGTCAGCTGTGTGCGATTTTGCGAGTGTGGTAATTCGGGTTACCGTATATTTCTTTACATATTATGCATTGAAGATTCGCGATTTTGCGCTATCATGGTGCCTGTTAGAATGTTGAAGAGCTCGCACTTGCGCACTAGTGAAGTCCCAGGGAGATGCTGATGCAAGGGTGGACCAGACTGCTATAGTGACAGGGCGGGCAAACAGGGAGCAGGGACCAATCAAATCAGGCTTTGTATACAGCCAACCACAATACTGCACCATTGTACAGTACAGCATAGAAAATGTCGACCAGTCAAACCCCTATCATCCCTATCATGGCACCAGCCAAAAGAAAGAAGTATGATGCAAATTTTAAACTGAAAGTTATAAACTTTGCTAAGGAAAATAATAATTGTGCTGCTGCAAGACAATATGGAGTAACAGAAAAGATGGTTCGGGACTGGAAATCAAATGAGAAAGCATTAAAGAGTATGCCAAGGGGTAAGTGTGCATTAAGAAGAGGCACCCCACACTGGCCAGAACTCGAAAAACATGTAGCAGACATGGTGGCTCAACATCGCCAAAACGGTTATGTGGTGACACGAAATACAATACGCTTGTTTGCACTTCAGTGGGCCAAATCAAATCTGATATTGTTTTACCTTTTATTTGGTGTGTGGAAGGTGTGCGGAAGAGGGGATAGTCTTATACGGCGAGTATATAACAAACTCTGTATTTTGAGTGGAAATGTTAGGGGGTCGTCTTATACGCCCAGTCGTCTTATACGCCGGCAAATACGGTAGGACTGCTATGTCTACCGATGTTAGTAGAGTGGCTTTATGTAGTAGGTGTGCTATGGGGCCCATTTGCACAGTCTCCCTGGTCACCTGAGCTGAGTGCTCCAGCTGTAGGTCTTTCTTTTTTACACAACAGACTCCAAGGAATAAAAATCCCTTTCATTCTTTCATAGAAGTATGCTGCTATATTACTTAATATAAGTATTGGTATTATCTTTGGTCAGGTGCCCAGAAACTATTAAGGCCCATATTCAAGTTTTTAAAACATCTAAGACTTAAGTAATAAAAATCAATTTTCTATTTAATCTTCAAAAACATCTGTTACTTTCCAGTTAGTTAAACCAGAACTCAGTCTGCTTCTAGAATCAATGTGTGTGGCTGATTGGTGGGATCTTAAAATAGCATCCTTCTCCTTTATCTCCTGCCTCTGTCTATCCCACCCAAACCAACGCCCTCCAGAGTCCTTCATCAGTCTTGAATAGGAAAACTTGATGCCCAGAGTTGAGAGGCTAGGTAAGAATGGAGAAGGTAAATGTCACTGCTGTGTTCAGTTCAGTGGGAAGAGGGGAATGCCTTAACCAGAAGTGTTTTTAAATAGTTTAAAAATATTTTTAAATTATTTTGTTTGAAAAGTTTTCTTTTTTTTTTCTTTTTGCCCTATCCTTAGGAAAGAGTTGGAAATACATGGGAGGGGGGGAAAGTACATTAAAGACTATATTTGTTTGCCATACATTGTATTAGTCTGCCATAACAAAGTACCACAGGCTGGGTGGCTTAAACAATAGAACTTTATTCTATCACCGTTCTGGAGGCTAGAAGTCCACAGTAAGGTTGGTTTCTTCTGCGGTGTCTCTCCTTGACTTGCAGACGGCTGCCTTCTCATGATATCCTCACATGGCCTTTTCTCTCTCTCTCTGCACATCTCTGGTGTCTCTCTGTATGTCTTAATCTTCACGTCTTATAAGGACGCCAGTTTGGTTGGATTAGGACCCACATTAACAGCCTCATTTTAATTTAATTACTTGTTTTAAAGGCCCTGTCTCCAAAATACAGTCACATTCTAAGGTACTGGAAGTTAGGGCTTCGACATATGAATTTGGGACAAGGGGACACATTCAACTCATAACAATGACATTCCAGAAAATGTTTTGAGCCACTACTCCCTCCCACCCCCAATCCTTTCTAGAAGGCTCATAGGAACCTGGCAATCTTGCTGTCAGAAAATTCCTCCCAGTCCTTCCTTCCCTTTCAACACTGACCTCTCCTTCAGCCCTCAACACAAAGTCACCTGGTGAGCAGGAGATGTTCTTTTGTCATTAACTCTCACCATGAAATCTTGAGTAATCCACTGTAGAGGGAAACACTAATAGAAAATATATATATATATATATATATATATATATATATATATATTTCTTAAAACAAATGGCAAAAGAAGAGAGTTATTCAAAACATGTAACCTTTATTACCTCAGATCAGATTGTAAAATAAAGTTTCTGTAAAGCAGCATCCATACAACACAACCTCACCTGTGGGAAGAAATCCATTGAACCATCACTGTAACACAAAATAGTGTATATAATAGTTCTCTTTGATGTATTCATTCCTTAGAAAAGGGACGCAGTAAACAGAGGCCCACTAAGGAAATCTCTGATGATTGAATCTCCAACACCACAGACATTGACAGCATTGGTGTTTGGTGGAAGGTATGCCTCCCAGGAACATCTTAATTCCAAGCACAGGACAGCCACTCACACATGCCACTCACCCTAGCTATGCTACTCTAAGGATCCAAGAATAAAGGGTGCTCCAGTTCCTATCAGCTGCAATTTGAAATGAACTCTAGAAAAGTTTCTAGAAGTAAGGCCAATGGTTGGTTATTCCCATTCCAGAATGTATAAGAGTTTAATTGCGGCCCCTGAGAGTAGTTGGTCTACGTTAAAACATGGCCAAGTTCCATCATTCAACACCTGCTTTGAAGTGGATGCTAGCCTAAAGTCAGGCCCAGAATTTTTTTATTTGTCCTTCTACTAATAATCTTGATAGAATCATGAATACTACTAGAATTCTACCCAGGAGAGGAACTCAGAATCAAACTCCTCCTCAGGGTAGCAGAGAAATTTTTTTTCTTCCACATTGTACTCGCCTTTGCCTCTTATAATTTCACAGATCTTATTGTGAGTGCCCCGGTCTCTGAGAAATAATGGCACTGCCATTTATTCCGGGTGAAGGTAGAGCCCAAGGCTTCCTTTGGTTATTCTTGAAAAGCGAATTAAAAAAAAAAAGTCCCATATAAAAATGAACTCTTGAATTAATGGTAAAGAGGGCTTCATACACAGACGCAGGGATTTGATATAATGAGCCTATAAAAATAAGTCTCAGGACACATACTTTATAGATGAACTTTTCCTACTTTGTCACAAGTTTCTCAGTACTTTTCTAGTCTTTCTCCAAACCTTGATACTTTTCAAATTTTTAATTTTCTTGACTTTTCCTAAACAGCAGAAGGAACACCCTGCCCCCAAGTGTTTTAGTTCCTCATTCTTTCTACATACAGAGGTTTTAGAGGGCTCTCCTTTCTTTGAAGAATTTGTCTGCTTTGTTTGGTCAAAGAAATGCTTTGAACTTGATCTGTGACTGACTGCTTATCTCCGTTTCAATAGATCTATTCTTGGATAGACGATATAACTGAGCGGTACCCTGATATGGTTGAAAAAATCCACCTTGGATCATCATTTGAGAAGCGCCCACTTTATGTTTTAAAGGTATGTTGCAGGGAGAGTCATTGATCTTTGAACTTTGGAGGATGTGTTAATTCTCCAGCAGTGCTTGTGATAACTTAGATTTTTTTTCTTTGAGTTCTGGGAATATTTGTATTATAAGTGTTCCTCAACTTTAATACCCAGCTATTTAAGGTTGGTTACAAATTTTTTTGTCCTTTACTAATGCAATGTTGTTCTATAGTGGAAACCCCAGTTTTAGAATCAACTCTGTCTCTGTTTAAGTGACACAAGCTTCAGGACCTACTGTCATAAAATGAAGGGAGTGGTCTGGGCTATTTCTCAAGTCCTTGTTTTATTTACACCACCACGAAAACCACCACCACCGCCTCTGACTGGCTTAGAGAGAGAGAGAGAGAGAGAGAGAGAGAGAGAGAGAGAGAGAGAGAGAGAGAGAGACTGTTATTGGACAAAGATTGACACTGATGCAGTTTTTGGAACCAAAGAAGAGCTGAACAGCCAAACCCAAGGAAAGACAGGAACCAGCACAATGCTGGGGTATTAGCAATAGGGCTGATGTAATAGCTTCTGTTCCAACACAGTCCATTTGGTTACTTATTTTTAGTTGAATAAATGGGACTTAGTAAAGGTGAGTGAATATAGAAACAGGAAGAATTTTGGGGAGCCATGAAACCATACTAATTCCTGCTTGTTAATTTCTAATTCTTTACTTATGTTATTTTACCACTCTTCCCCCTAAAAATATTTTTTTTGAGTTAAAAAGAAGCTCTGGAAAACTTTTAATCATTGGGAAAATAAAAAGTAAGTACCTAAGAAAAATGGTGAGGGAGTCCAAGTTTATCTTTGGTACCACAAGCTTCCCTTTCCCAAGCATTTCCCTATTTCACACCTCCCACAGAAAGGTACCCAGCCAACACATACCATTTTACCTCTAATTAAGTGTGAAAAAATTGCCTGAAGCACTAGTTCTCTAGTCTCCACTTCTATATTTTTACATGCAGCAATGGAATGAGTAGTTTAATGTGGGGGACTAGGATTCTGCTCAAGATGGCAGAATAGGTAAACCTTGTGCTTGCCTCTTCTCATAGCCACATCAAAATTACAACTAAACTGCAGAACAACCACCATTGATAATCACCTGAAGTCTAGCTGAACTGAAGTCCTGCAACTAAGGACATGTAGAAGAAGCCACCTCAAGACTAGTAGGAGGGGCAGAGACACAGAATGGGATGGTCCCAAACATGCATGTGACTGCTATAAATTAGGAGGGATATCATGGCTGCAGAGGTCCTCCATGGAGGAGCAAGGGGTCCCAGCCCCACACTAGGCTCCCCAGCCCAGGGTTCCAGTGCCAGAGAGAGAAGTCCCCAAAACTTATGGCTGTGAAAATCAGCAGAAATTATGGCTAAGTGATATGAAGGGCTGCTAGTCGCAAGCGTTCCTCTTACAGGGCCCATTCACAGTTTTACTCAATGATGTATTCACTCACTCATGCCCCAGTACTGGGGCTGCAGCTCAAAAGGCTCTGGGGACATACAAGAAGGAATTGAGTTGTCTGGCTTCAGAGGGAAGGCTGAGGGCCAGCTTTCTCCCAGAGAGAAGAAGTACAGGAAGAAGTCATTGTTTCTTTGTTGAGCCCTCCCCACTCCTGGAGTGCAGACACAGGCAGCCAACACATCTGAGTCTTCATCAACATAGCTAACACCACTCATTCACCTGGTGATTCCCTGAGACCCTGCCCCATCCAACTTTCGAGGACACCCAAGCTGTGGCTTTCCCATGTAAATGGCCTGTCTTGGCTCATGCTGTGGACTTTCCTACAACATTTCTCAAAGGTTCACAAACCCAAACAAGCAGCACCTCGCTTTGGTATTTCTTGTACCTCTTATCGAGCAGCCCAAAGCCCATCACTTGGTTTGTGGCTTGGCCTCTCAAGAGGACCTCCAAGCACAGTGTGGGTGGCAGCCATCTGTGGATTGTTTTGTGGTTCATGCTAGGTGGCTCCTGGCAGAATACAGGCTGCAGCTAAACTCGGCCTGTGGCAGGGCCTTCCCAGGAGGCCCCAGGGCTGGCACTCCAGATTGCCATCATCAGACCCAGTGGAAGCATCACCTGGCTGCTCATAGGATGACCCAAAGGGCAGTCTAAGCAGAAAGCAGAGCCTTACTTAAGTGAATCCTGCTCCATAGGATCAGTCTCTGCACAATAGCTCCTCCACTGTAGTCTCAGAAAGTACTTACAATCAATCATGTATTAGAGGGAATCAACAGTAGATTAAATGAAGCACAGGATCGAATCAGCAATTTAGAAGATAAGGTAGCAGGAAACACCCAATCAGAAACGCCCCCACTTTCTCCCCACCAAAAAAAAGAATCCCCCCAAAATGAAGATGGTTTAAGGGGCCTGTTGGACAACATCAAGCATACCAACATATGCATCATAGGGGTAGATGAGAAGAGAGAAGAAGAGAGAGAACAAGAAATTTAAAACTTATTTGAAAAAATAATGGTGGAAAACTTCCATAATGTGGTGAAGGAAATAGATATACAAGCCCAGGAGTCCCAAACAAGATGAACCAAAAGAGGACAACAGCAAGACACATCATACTTAAAATGCCGAAGGTTAAAGATGAAGAGAGAATCTTAAAAGCAGCCAGAGAAAAGCAGTTAATTACCTACCTACAAGGGAACTCCCATAAGACTGTCAGCTGATTTCTCAGCAGAAACTTTGCAGGCCAGAAGGGACTGACACAAAATATTTAAAGTGATGGAAATAAGGACCTACAAGCAAGATTACTCTACACAGGAAAGCTTTCATTTAGAATTGAAGGACAGATAAAGAGCTTCCCAGATAATAAAAAGCTAAAGGAGTTCATCATCATTAAACCAGTATTATAAGTAATGTTAAAGGGACTTCTTTAAGAAAAAAAAGATAAAAAATATAAATACTGAAATGGCAATAACTACATACCTATCAAGAATTACTTTAAATGTAAATGGATTAAATGCTCCAGTCAAAAGACAAAGGGTCAAAGGGTAGCTAAGTGGATAAGAAAACAAGACCCTTACATAAGCTGCCTACAAGATACTTCAGATCAAAAAATACACACAGACTGAAAGTAAAGGGATGGGGAAAAAATATATCATGAAAATGGAAACAAAAACAACAAAATCTGGGGTCGCTATATTTACACCAGACAAAATATAATAGACTTTAAAACAAAGGCTATAACAAGAGAAAAGCAGGACACAGTGATCCCACTTCTGGGTATGTATCCAAAGAAACCCAAAATGTTACTTCGAGGAGATAAATGCATCCATATGTTCATTGCAGCATTGTTTACAATGGCCAAGATGTGGAGGCAGCCTGGGTGTCTGTCAATGGATAAATAAAGAGGAGGTGGTCCCTATGTACAGTGGAATATTGCTTGGCCATGGAAAGAAATGAGTTCTTGCCATCTGTGATGGCATGGATGGACCTAGAGGATGGACCTAGGGGCTGATGGACCTCTGTCTGATACATCAGACAGAGAAAGACAAATGCAATGTGATTTCACTTATATGTGGAATCTAAAGAACAAAATAAACAAACAAAACAGAAACAAAACAAAACAGAATATTTTGATGGTTGCCAGAGTGGAGGTGGCTTGTGGGGGTCTGTAAAAAAGGGGGAGGGATTAAGAAGTACAAACTGGTTGTTACAAAATACTTTAGGAGTGTAGGCTATAGCATAAAATTGTAGTAACTATGTATGGTGTCAGATGGGTACAAGATTTATCAGGGTGATAGATGGGAGGGGGCTGGGGAGCAGGGTAAGAAAAGTGAAGGGATTAAGAAGTACAAATTGGTAGTCACAAAATTTTCATAGAGATGTAAGGTAAAGCATAGGGAATATGGTCAATGATATGGTAATAACTATGTATCATGCTAGGTGGGTACTAGACTAGTCAGGGGGAACACTTCTTAGATTATTTTAATGTCTAACCACTATGCTGTACTCCTGAAATGAATATAAAATAATATTGAAAATCAACTGTAATTAAAACTTTTTAAAGGTGGGGAAAGGTGAAGGAGAATAAGAGGTTTAAATTTCCAGGTATAAAACAAATAATTCATGGGGATGTAATGTACAGCATAGGGAATATAGTCAATAATATTGTGATAGCATATAGTATGGTGTCAGGTGGTTGCTGGACTTACCACAGTGATCACTTTTTTTTTTTTAAGATTTTTATTGGGGAATTGGGGGAAGGGGAACAGACAAGTTGCTGTCCTTTTGTTCTTCAGTCTAGTTGTGGAGGACGTTGCTTCACTGGCCCAAGTTGGCACCATCATTGCGCTTTTCCCGGGCGAGGCAGATCGGTCACCGGCTTCTGGAGGGCCACTCACTGCGGCTGCTGGCGGCTCACGCTGGCTGCTGCTACACACGGTAGCCCATGGCAACCCACTGCAGCAGGGGCTGCAGCCTACGCCGTCACTGGCAACTCATGGCAGCCCAGCTCCAGGTTGAGCTGCTGTTCAGCATCTTAACTGTAGAGGGCAGTGTCACTGGCCCTCATATGTGGGATCCAAACCGGGGTCCTCTGATATCCCAAGCCAGCTCTTAACCACCGTGCCACTCAGCCGGCCCAATGATCACTTCTTTAGGTGTGTAAATGTTCAATAACAATGTTGTAAACTTGAAACTAACATAATATTGTATGTTAACTATATCTTAATAAAAATCTTTTAAAAATAAATGTGAGGGAATCAAAAGAGCTTTAAATCTAGAGTCATGGCTCCGAAACTTAATCCAATTTTCACCAGCTATTTGACCTTAGCTAGTAATTTCATCTCTTCACCTTTAATCTCACCTGGTTTTAATTTCCCTTGAGAATTCTCAAAGGAACACAGACAATAATGTATGCTTCAGAGATTTGTTAAAAGGATTAAATATAACCCCTAAATAAATGTGTTATCCTGAGGCTTCCTGTTACTTTTTTTGGTTTTCTTTTGGCAGGTTTCTAGAAAGGAACAAAGAGCCAAAAATGCTGTGTGGATTGACTGTGGAATTCATGCCAGAGAGTGGATCTCTCCTGCTTTCTGCTTGTGGTTCGTAGGCTATGCAGTAAGTACAGTTTCACTTTCTCTTAAATCAGTTTCTCATTATGTGGCCTAAGGCCACTTGTGTCAGAATCAGCTGGGCTGTTTATTAAATGCCTTTTTCCATTCACATCCTAGAATTCCTGACTTAAAATCTCTGGAGGTGAGGCTTAAAAACCTGCAAACTTTCACAAGCTTTCACAAATTTTCACAAGCTTCCCAGGTCATTTTTATGCATATTAAGTTGGAGAACCATAACATCAAGCATTTAAATCACCCTCGTTTGATGGCCTTTTCCTTCCTACATTTTTAGCTGGGACTAAACACTGGAAAATAATTAAGAAACAATTGTAATATTTTTGCAAGTAGAAGAAAGAACTAAAGCAATTATCTAAATTGAATCCCAATTATTTTTTTCTTTCTTTAAACAAAAGATTGATAAATGTAATGATATTCAAGAATTTTTGTTCATCAAAAGACACCATTAAGAGAGTAAAAATATAAACTTTAGGGAGGAAGAGTTATTTGCTTCATAAACAACTAGTAACCAGGATTTTTTTTAAAAGATCCTCCAAATAAGAATGAAAAAAAAAAGAAAAAAAATCCTCCAAATCAATAAGAAAAAGTCAGCTAACCATAGGAAAAAACATCAAAAACTTAAATAGGTGCATTATAAATGAGAAAAACCTACATAATCAGTAAATATATAATAAACTTTTGCTCATATGCACCAGAATAACCCCAAGAATGTTCATAGTAATGATTCACATTAAAAACCCCTATAATTAGTGGATATAGTAATTGTGGCATACTCATACAATGGAATGAATGTTATACAGCACAAGAATGAATAAACTACTACTGTATATAAGAACATGAATGAAGCTCACAAACATAATAATGAGCAAAAGAAATAAGTTACATAACGATACATAGAGAGTAATTACACTTACCTGTATGTGTATATCAAAATCAGGCAAAACTAAACTATACTGTTTGCAGATGTATAAATTTGTGGTAAAAGTATAAAAACAAAGCAAAGAAATAATCATTTATTTCCAAAACACTCATGCCAAGTATAGTTTTAAGTGCTCTGCAAATAATAACTCACATTTTCATCATCATCATCATTATCATCATCATTTTTACCTCTGGGGGCTGTAGCATTATGATTGGAAGGAGCGATATGGGAACCTTCTTAGATGCCATTTGTAGTATTTATTCACTCATGCATATGTTTTATAATAATTATTTTTTAATTATTTATTTCTTTTTTTTCAGTTACAGTTGACATTGAATATTATTTTATATTACTTTCAGGTGTACAGCATAGTGGTTAGATACTTATATAATTTGTGCAGTGATTCCCCCAATTAGTCTAGTACCCAACTGGAACTATACATACAGCAGGTGCCAAAAAATTGTATTGCGGGAGACCAGCTCCCACAGGTCCAGGGGTTCCCTCAGGTGGAGACAGTGTTGGGGAGGAAGCGAGACACAGGGGTGCCGCTTTCAAGAAGAAGTGTCTCACTTTATTTTTACAGCATGTCCCTTTTATACTGGACAGTTGACCTTTTCCAGAGTTAAACTTTTGCCCTTTAGGAAGTTGTTTTTCTCAAAGTTTTTCTTCCTTGGGATGTTTCTGTTACAGGGTACAGCCTGACCTGTTCTATACTAATGACTAACTTATTTTAACTATGTTTCAATCTCTATCTATAACGGCTTTGTGGCTAGAACTGAGTTCCTGCCCTGGCGCCCAAAGAATGTTTGAAATTACTATGGCTATCTAGCAATTATTTCAAACACTACTGGCTAAACAGGATCTTAAGAATTATAAGGTGCATAACTTGTCTATTACTAAGAAACTAACAGGAAAACAGAATTATCGCAATATGTCTAAAACTCACTTATTCAGTTTAAGATAAACTAAACAACCAATATAAGAAGGGGTGTCAGATCTTCGTCCTACTGGGGGGCATCCAAAGGGGAATTAAAAAACTTTTAAGATATAAACCAGTATCTGTTTCTCAGTCAGAGCTTCAGACTTTGTCACAATAGCAGTGCGCTTGGCCATGTCAGACACTGAGGCGCAGCCGGCTCCCAACAATGTATATACATTTTAAGAAAGGAAAACTGTATTAAAATTGTAATACTTAGTATGTACAGATAACAAAAGATGAATGCAAGTCATGTTTGACTCCTTCAGTTACAAGAGGTGCTCAAAGTGGTTACCATCAACATTCAGACACTTCTGATTAAGGAGAACTACCGCTTGAGCAATGGTGACCAAAGTGTCCACTTGTATACATTTTTTTGGCACCCCCAGTAGTTGTTGCAATATTATTGATTATGTGCTGTACTTCACATTACCAAGACTATTTATTTATGTATTTATTTATTATTTTTTATTAGTTTCAGGTGTACAAAACAATGTAATAGTTAGACATTTACACCCCTCACAAAGTGATAACCCCTCCAATCTACTAACCTTCTAATATCCTATATAGCTGTTACAATACCATTGACTATCTTCACTGTGCTGTACTCCACATCCCCTAGATATATATATCTATAATATGTATCTATGTATCTATATATATAGATATTTAAAATTTATCAATTTTACTACATATATTTAATTATAGTTGACATTCAATATTATTCTATTTCAGCTTCAGATGTATAGCTTATTGGTCAGGCATGTCTGTGAAGTGATCCCCCTGATAAGTCCACTGCCCATCTGGCACCCTACATAATCTTTACAACATTATTGGTTAAATACCCCATACTGTATTTCATATCTCTGTGGCTATATTATGACCACTAATTTACACTTTCTAATCCCTCCACCTTCTCCCCCATTTCTACCTAATGATGATTTTTTAACTATCAATTGTATTTCTTAATGCTTTTACATTTTTCACCCAGCTCCCCAAACCCCCTCACCTCTGGCAACCACCTCTTTGCTCTCTGTATCTATGAGCCTGTTTCTGTTTTATTCGTTTATTTTGTTGTTTAGATTCCACATATAAGTGAGATCATATGGTATCTGTGTTTCTCATTCTGACTTATTTCACTTAGCATAATACCCTCTAGGTCCATCCATGTTGTCACAAATGGTAAGATTTAATGCTTTTTTAAAGCCAAGTAATATTCCATTATACATATGTACAACATCTTTATTGAATTGTCTGTTGATGGGCACTTGGGTTGCTTTAATATCTTGGCTATTATAAATAGTGTTACACTGAACATAGGGATGCATATACCTTTTCAAATTAGTGTTTTGGATTTCCTCAGGTAAATACCCAGAAGTGGAGTTGCTGGGTCATAAGGTAGTTCTATTTTTTAATGTTTTGAGGAACCTCCATACTCTTTTCCATAGTGGCTGCACCAATCTGCAATCTTACCAACAATGTACAAGGGTTCCCTTTTCTCTGCATCCTCACCAACACTAGTTGTTTGTTGATTTATTGATGATAGCCATCCTGACTGGTGTGAGGGGTATCTCATTGGGGCTTTTATTTGCATTTCTCTGATGATTAATAATTTTGAGCATTTTTAATATGTCTGTTGGCCATCTGTATGTCCTCTTTAGAGAAATGGCTATTTAGGTCCTCCGCCCATTTTTTAATTGGATTGTTTGTTTTTTTGGTGTTGCATGAGTTCTTTGTAAATTTTGGATATTAACCCCTTATCAAATGTATGATTGGCAAAATATCTTCTCCTATTCAATAGCCTGTCTTCATTTTGTTGGTGGTTTCCTTTGCTGTGCAAAAACTTTGTAGTTTGAAGTAGTCACATGTTTATTTTTCTTTTTTCCCCTTGCTTGAGGAGATAGATGAGAAAAAATATATATCACTAAGAGCAATGTTAGAGAGTTTACTGCCTCTATTTTCTTCTAGGAGGTTTATGGTTTTGGGTCTTACATTTAAGTATTTGATCCATTTTGAGTTTATTCTTGTATATGGAATAAGAAAGTGATCTAGTTTCATATTTTTGCATGTATCTGTCCAGTTTTCCCAACACCATTTATTGAAGAGACTATCTTTACCCCACTGTATGTTCTTGCCTCCTTTGTCATAGATTAAATGACCATATATAAGTGTGAGATTATTTGGGGACTCTGTATGCTGTTCCATCAATATATGTGTCTGTTTTATGCCAATACCATGCTCTTTTGATTATTGTAGTCTTGTAACATAGTTTGACATCAGGTAGTATGATACCTCCAATTTTGTTATTTTTTTCTCAAGATTGTTGTGACTACTTGGGGTCTTTTTTAGTTCCATATAAATTTTAGAATTATTTATTCTAGTTCTGTGAAAAATGCCATTGGTATTTTGATAGGAATTGCACTGAATACAAGGTCTGACAATTAAACACTTTTTCTAGGATGAGTTCGCAAGCTTAATTGTCCAACCTCGCATATACATTGCTTTGGGTATTATGGACATTTTATTATTATTATTATTATTNAGCCATCCTGCCACCTGTTGGCAGCTCACGGCTGCTCAGCTCGGGCTGACTCGAACCACTGTTGCTCAGAGCTCAAACTCTTGAGCGAGCTCTTATTATGGACATTTTAAAGATGTTAATTCTTCCTACCCATGAGCATTGTATGTTTCCATTTATTTGTACGTTCTTCAGTTTCTTTCTTCAGTGTCTTATAGTTTTCTGAGTACAGGTTTTACCTCTTTGGTTCAAGTTATTTCTAGGTGGTTTTTGGGGGGTTTTGATGCAATTATAAGTGGAATTATTTTCTTAATTTCTCATTCTAACAGTTCATTATTGATATGCAACCAATGTCTGAATACTAATTTTGTATCCTGCTACTTTACTGAATTCATTTATCAGTTCAAATAGTTATCATTGTCAGACCTCGTATGTTCATCAGGGATAATGACCTATAGTTTTCTTTTTTTGTAATGTCTGTCTGGTTTTGGAATCAGGGTAATGCTGGTCTCATAAAATGAGCTTGGGAGCATTCCCTCCTCTTGAATTTTTTGGAATAGTTTGAGAAGGATCAGTGTTAATTTTTCTTTGAAAGTTTGGTAAAATTCACCTGTGAAGCCATCCAGTCCAGGACTTTCGTTTGTTGGGAATATTTTTTATTACTGATTATTCAATTTCATTAGTAGTTATCTTTTGATTCATATTTTCTGTTTCTTCTTTATTCAGTCTTGGAAAGTTATGTCTGTAGGAACTTATCCATTTCTTCCTGATTGTCCAATTTGTTGGCATATAATTGTTTGTAGTATTTTCTTATACTCCTTTGTATTTCTGTAGTGTCAGTTGTCACTTCTCTTCTTTCATTTCTGATTTTATTTATTCAAGTCCTCCTTCCTTTTGTCTTGATGAGTCTGCTTAAAGTTTTATATATTTGGTTAACCTTATCGCAGAACAAGTTCTTGGTTTCATTGATCTTTTATATTGTGTTTTTAGATTCTATTTCATTTATTTCTGCACTGATATTTATTATTTCCTTCTTTCTACTCACTTTGGGCTTTGTTTGCTGTTCTTTTTCTAGTTCCTTTAAATGTAAGGTTAATACATTTAGAGAATAGTGTGAAAACTCATTGGATACCACATGTTTGGAGAACCCCATGATACACAGATCTCAAATTAATAGTAAAGAATTAGTATATTCATGACCATGTTCAACTTGGCTGAAAATATTATTTGAAAAAAATCATGTCTTTAAACACAGCTGATAGTTATAAGTCAGAATTATAAAGCTTATAGAATTTTAGAGGTTATGCTACTTCAGTGACATGAATAGATATCTAGGTTGTATGCTTTTGAAGTATAGATAACTGGATAAATGTCAAATCTGAAAAGATTTTAATACGTAATAGTATTATTCTCAAACTTAATTCAGGACGTTTCTTGGATTTCTCTGTATCTGTGTAACCCTGCTGTAATCCTCACAATGCCTGGAGAGGAATACAGGTTTGCCCAAGTACAACTCAATCTTATCCTTAGCCAATCAGGAAAATACCTAAAGTCCTAAGGATACTATAACATTATCCAGCTGATCTATTCAGGTCATCCTTTCATCAGCAGTGACCTCAATGGATCTTCTCCACTTACAGGCACTGAGAAGTCCCCTTATTGCACAGTTCCCTCTGTCCTTCCTTTTTGTAAGGGCACTATCCTTCCTTTTTCATCCACTCACTGCCCATTTGGAGCCTTGCTTATTAGACAAGAAATTCCAGGGCTAACATTGATCATCTCTTAGAGCTTAGCTTTTTGCTGAAAGACTTACATCCAATCATTGATAAGGGTAGGAAGGAAATAAAGAGAGTAAAGCAGACAAAGAAACCCACTATGCTACATCTATTAAAAGTTCAGTAAACACTGCTTAAATGAAAATAAATGCTTTATTATTTTGAAATAAATGAAATCTCATCTTTATCTGATAATAAATGCTATGTTATTACTGAACATGACTCTAACATAAATTTACAAATTTGTAGCATAAAAATGTATTTAACTAGTTACTCTACTATTTATGATAGTTTATTTTATTCTGTAAAATTTGCTCCCTTCTCATTAAGCTTTCATTTCTGACCCATATTAGATTAAAAAACAACTTGTACTTTTGCTTTCCTTTCTCCTATGTTTCATAAGTGGTTATCCATTGCAAAGAATTTTAATATGACTCATGATTGTCTTAGGGAAATGTGGATATAAAATTTTAAATATTGAAAGAGAAAATCATATAAAGTTTTTACTATAGCTAAGGTTGGATTTAAAAGACATTTTTCTTTTGTCAATAATAAAAAAAAACATTTCTTAAAGTTTTTTGAGTAAGGTGTAAAGTGACAAATAATTGTAAATTAATCCACAAATTAAAAAGTAGCAATGTTGCCACAAATGAAGATTTTATACCAAAGCTTAGTCCTAGATGAAATGGTTTATTTTAACCAGCTGAAATTTATCTTTGTGTCTCTCCTGCCTCTATATTTGGTTATTTTGGGGGTGAACTTCTTAGTCATCAGAATGAGGATGTTATTGATCATGTTGAAATAGGTGACTCTAAGGTAGATGTGAGTCTAAAACAGAGAAGAGCAGTGTCAGGTGGTGCCTATTAGGAAACTCATAGCCAGTACCTAGGAAAAGCTACCACTGATTTTAAAGCCAAATGATCTGATGCTTAGAAAACAAACTCTATTGCAGCAAAAAAAATAACTCCACAAGTTATAAAGACAATGTTGAAAATATCACTAGACCCATGTAGGCATAAGACAAGGTTAGTTTAAGCTCTGATTGATATGTATTTTTGAAAAAGAAGTGGAACAATATCTAGGTTTTTTTCCTTAAATCTTCATGGGCTTTATAGATTTAATAAAGAATTCTTTTTGTTTCTTAAAGGAAATTGTAGAAAATATATGGTTCTGTTTTCAGCCTCTATTAAATAGGAAGACCATTTGTCCCATGTCCAAAGTTTTACCACCACTTGGCAGATTAGTACCCTGAATTCAGTCTTTCCAGGAATTGATAGTCTTCCTATAAGTTAAATTTGCCAATCTGAACATGCCAAATGAGTTTTTTGAAAAGAAAAATGCATAAAAGAAACAGACTAAGTTTAGAAGAATATAAAAGAGATATATTAAACATGCTTTGTTTAACTTGTAGGTAACTCAATTCAGTGGGGAAGACAATCTACATACCGGTCTTCTGAGGCACATGGATTTCTATGTTATGCCAGTAGTTAATGTGGATGGTTATGACTACACATGGAAAAAGGTAGGTGAAGGCAAAGGAAACAAAATATACCCCCTTTGGGAATACAGGATACATATGCTGAATTACTCATAGACTCCTGGAACTTGGAACATGGTTTTATTATTTTTTAAAAATGTTTAATTCTCATTATGGAAAAGTTCAAATGTATATGAGTGAAAATAATTGTAAACTCCTATGTACCCATCAGATAGCTTTAAAAACAATCAACTCATAGCCGATCTTTTTTTACCTATATGCCCCACCTACTTCTACCTTGCCCATATTATTTTGAAGCAAACCTCAGACGTCATATCATTTCACCAATTTGTAAAATCATAAATTGCAAAACTTATAACAGCATTCTAACTGAACTTTAACTGATAAGTGAATTTAAACCTTATTACCCTTTAACTCAGTCATGAGCTTAAGTATGAGTATCTTGATCAATTTCATCTACACTGGAAATCATTATCAATGGTGTTTTTAGTCCATTAACATCTTGATTCACGTAAAATGAATTATTCAAGCAATATGAAGTACATTCCTTTCTAATTTAATGAGGGGCACATAAAAACATTACTGAGCATATATAAGCTTAAGTAGCACATGTAAGCACTAAGGAGAATGAGAATAATTGCAGTGATTAGAAACATATGGGATTATGCAGTAATAGTTTCATGTAGGAGGTAATTTATGCAGAAGAAATGGGAATGATGGAAATTAATGAAAAAGTCATCTCAGGTGAGAGGAATACTGTGCATAAAAGCTTGCAGGTAGAGGTGGGCAAGTAAATAGGAAATTCCAAGCATAGTACATAACATGAATTTGGTGTCAATAAATTGTCACATTTGTAGATTATATTATAATAAATGTACTCTTGCACTTGAATCACAATGGAATTCAGCCACCCTTAAGATATTCCTACTTCCCAGCTGGTCTGTGTCTTTGTGTCTTAATTCTGCCAATTAGTGCCTGCAATTTGAGAACCTAATTTCTCCAGGACATTTGTCGCTACCAAACCACAGGTCAGGGGTTGGAAGCAGACTGAGAGGCTTGGCAGAAGGGTTGGTGAGAGTAGGGGAAAAGAGTGCCATATCATCCCAAACTTAGAACTTAAAGTCTGTGCAACTGTTTACATGATCAAGTTTCCCAGTTTACCCCAAGAATTCCCTGGGAATTTGCTTTATGTTTACAAACCAGAGTCAAATCAGTACATTTAAAGGATCCCTCCAGTTAGAGGTGTCTTCTCATCTTTATCCCCTGTATTTTTTTAATTAAATTTATTGGGGTGACATTGGTTAGTAAAATTATATAGGTTTCAAGTGTACAATTCTATAATACATCATCTACCTATTGCATTGTATGTTCACCACCCAGTCAGTTCTCCTTCCATCACCATATATTTGACCTACTTCACCTTCTTGTACCATCCCCATCTTCCCTTGTAAACACTAAACTGTTGTCTGTGTCTATGAGTTTTGGCTTGTTTGTTTGTTTGTTGCTTTCAGTTTTATATCCCACATATGGTTCTCAACTTTTTCTGTCTTATTTTGCTTAGCATGATAATCTCAAGATCCATCCATGTTGTCGCAAATGGCAGTATTTCATCTTTTCTTATGGCTGAGTAATATTCTGTTGTGTATATACCACATCTTCTTTATCCAATCATCTATCAAAGAACACTCCGGTTGTTTCCATGCCTTGGCCACCTGTAGCTTTTAGAGAGTGTTGAATTCAATCTGAAGAGAGCATTGAAACTCATGACTCAACAATACTGTATTATAATCATCAAACTTGCTAAGAGACTAAATCTTAATTATTCCCACCACAAAAAGAAATGATAAGTATGTGATCTGATAGAGGTGCTAACTACCACTACAATGGCAATCATATTACAATATAGAAATATTGTGCACCTTAAATTTACAAAATGTTAGATGTCAAATGTATTTCAGTTTAAAAAAGAAACTCATGACTCATAGTTTTAATCTGAGTTGAAACACAAAGTTATTTTACTTTTCTTAGAAGGAATTCAAACTGACAACCCACAAAATTACTTTAAAAGAAACAAGACTAAACAAGATGGCCAATAAGCAGCTTAGCAAAACCAAGTGGAAATTTTGTTTGTTTAGGTCAAAATTGATCAAATATTATGATTTTGTTGGTTGAAAATGAAATAGTTTGAGTGAACATGGTTGAGACCTGGATAGAAACAAGAGCTATGCAAAAGGAATGCTGTGAAGATGGGGTTGCAGGAGAAAAACACAGCCCTAGCCACTTAGGCTTCAAAAGTCATGTCTTTCCTTGAACTACAAACATGGCCACCCTAGTTATCTGTATTTTGTTTATTTAGGATCGAATGTGGAGAAAGAACCGTTCTTTTCATGAAAATAGTCCTTGCATTGGAACAGACCTGAACAGGAACTTTGCTACTAAACACTGGTGTGGTAGGTTGTTTGCTTTATTTCTAGTAACGTCTCTTTATTAAAAAGGTGATATTAATAAAGAAAGGCCTATTAATTCAAGCTAGTTAGAGGGGAAGCCTATCTGCATCAGGAAATAATTCAAATAATAAATGTTTTAGTTAAATGTAATGCTGTAAATATTGACTAGAGTCAGCAAATCACCTTAGCCTCTCCTCCCTGCTGTTTCCTCGTCTTTAAAAGGAGGAAGTTGGAACAGTTCTCTAAGGTCCCTTCTAGCTTCAAAAATCCTAAAATTCTATTTTTCTAAAATAATAAAGAAGTAACTATTAAATTTCCTGCTTTAATAAACAAATAATTTTTATCCTTAGGATAGCAGAGACCAGGGTTGGGTAAATTTTTTTTTTTTAAGATTTTTATTGGGGAATTGGGGGGACGGGAACAGACAAGCCGCCGTCGTCTTGCTCCTCAGTCCAGCCGTGGAGGACACTGCCTCACCGGCCCAAGCCAGCACCATCATTGCGCTCTTCCCCGATGAGGCAGACCAGTCGCCTGCCTCTGGACAGCCGCTCACTGCGGCTGCCGGCCGCTCACGCTGGCCATCGGCCACACACGGCAACCCACCGCCACAGGCAGCCCACACCGTAGCCGGCGACTCACGGCAGCCCAGCTCCAGGCTGAGCTGCTGCTCAGCATCTTAGCTGTGGAGGGCAGTGTCACCGGCCCTCACATGCGGGATCCGAACCGGGGCCCTCTGGCATCCCAAGCCAGTCCCCAACCATCGCGCCAGTCCGCCGGCCCTAAATTTTATTTGCATAGGTAAATATTTACTTCTATAGTGTTTGAAAACATTTTCTTCTGTGTTCACTATTCACTTTCTTAACCAGAAATTCTTTCTTCCATGAATATCGTAAAGATAAACTTATGTCTAACCCAGTGGGAGTTTATCATCTTGATTTCAATGAGTTAAGGCACTCAGTTAACATTGAGTTAGACATTCAGGAACATTGTCTGCTCTCAGGGAGGTAGGTGCCAGTTCACCCTCCACCCTTCTATTATATTTCATAATCACCACATTTAAAAAAAACAGCTACAAAACAAAACTATGCTGAACAACAAGCTTGAATCATCTATATTTTTGGAAGTGAGAGCATGTGGCTCCTTGGGGACTGTACGGGGTCAAAGCAATTGTAACCACAGAAACACCCTCTTCTTTCTAGTCCTTTGCCTCTACACAATCGTATGTACACGATCTTATATAGTTTCTTTTAGAAAGAAGTGAAAATTCGGGATTTTGAACATTTCATCATTATCCCACAGCACATATGAATACCCCATCAAGGATTACTTACCTTATTTTCTTATTCCCTTCCCCCTCCAGGTCAGAAACTCCAGGGAGCGACCGTTATTCATGACTTAGTACAGTGCCTGACACATGGAGGGTTCTCTGAAATGTTAATTCGATGAACACGTGAATGAATTTAGTTGTTCTAAGAAAGCTAGAGATGCAGTCAGCAAGGAGAGAAAAGAGCAGTTAATCCTGCCTCAGGCTCAAGGGAATCACACAGTGGTTTCTTCATAAGAGCTGCCCTTAAGATTGTCCACTAAAAGTGCCTGCTGAGACCCAAAGACACCGCAGCAGTGATAACTGGGCGGGGGGCACAGAGAAGCAGCAGCTGATATAAAATAGACCTAAATAAACAGAGCTGACAGTTGCTAAGTGCTGAGCAGTTTACATAGTTCATCTCCCAGATTTCATTACCTACATATCATGGATGGAGAATGCCAGACTTTTTTTTTTTTTTTTTTTAAGCTGAGCCATCCTGCCACCTGTTGGCAGCTCAGCGGCAGCTCAGCTTGGGCCGGGCAGTGAACCACTATTGCTCAGAGCTCAAACTCATGAGTGAGCTCTTAATCAACTGAGCCACTCGGCCGGCCTCCTGAGAATGCCAGACTTTAAAAGATGAAGCCCCTTGCTGAAGATGGAGCACAGAGCTAGGAAGTGGCAGAGCTGGGCTATAAAGCCAGGCTAACTGACTCCAAATTTATTGAAATTCTTCTGAAATGTCTGACAATCACTCGTCAGTTAGAAACTCCCTTGTGGAACTTTTTATTTTATCTTCAGGTTCTTTTGATGCTCTATTTTACTTAATATTTTTCATGGTGAACCCAATGTTACATAATTTGAATAGCAAACTAGCCAAAATATATTCCACTATTGTCAACAAGAATGCTGTATTATTACATAGCACAAGAGTTAAAAAACAGAAGTAGAAGCAGCAAGCATATAGAGAAGAAAGAGTTCCAGATAAAAAAAAATAATAATTGTAAGGACTCTTTTTTGCCAAGTGGCCCAGCATCTCGTGAGTACTGTGTAAGTAAGCCAGTGAGAAAGAAAAATTAAATCTTATCTTTTCTTTGTCCCTACCAATAGAATGTGCCTTTATAATACTTTGTAAAAGATCTATTAGAGCACCTCGCTTATTAATAGGAAGTGATGTATCAAGCCTACGTATTTATTTATTAATTTTTATTGGGGAACAGTGTGTTTTTTCAGGACCCATCAGCTCCAAGTCAAGTAGTTGTTTCAATCTAGTTGTGGAGGTAATCGACTGGCAACCTTCGTGTTATGAGCACTGCGCCCTAACCAACTGAGCTAACCAGCTGCCCAATGCCTATGTATTTATTTTACGTTTATTTTACCCTTCCTCTGTATTAAACTTGTGTGTGTGTGTGTGTGTGTGTGTGTGTGTGTCTGTGTGTGTGTGTGCGCGCGCGTGTTGAAGAAGGGAATGGGGTTGAAGGTGTTTTAGTTGGCTAGGACTGCCAAAATAAAAAATACCACAGACTGGGTGGGTTAACCAAGAGAAATTCATTTCTTGCAGTTCTGGAGACTGGAACTCCAAGATCAAGGTGTCAGAGGGTGGGTTCCTCCCAAGGCCCCTCTCCTTGGCTCGCAGATGGCCACCTTCTCTTAGTATCTTTACATGGCCTTTTCTCTGTGTTATGTGTATATCTGGTGTGTCTCTCTCTCTTCTAATAAGGATGCTAGCCATATTAGATCAAGGCCCCACCTTTGTGACTTTATTAAATTTTAATCACCTCATTAAATGCCCTATCTCCAAATACAACACATTGCAGATTAGGGCTTAAACATATGAATTGTGGAGGGGAAGAAGGCCAGAATTCAGTCCATAACAAGGCATTTTGTGAGAACTTCTGGTCTCAAATTTCCGAAGACAGATCCATTCATTTTAAAAAATGTTCAGTTAAATTAGACAGTTTTTGCAATGGGTGTGCAGTAAAAAATCCTTTATTTCTTTTCCTATGAGATAGTCATTTCTCGTAATTATTTTTTATTATATTAAATATATATATAATTTACTATTTTACCATTTTTAAGTGTAAAATTCAGCGGATTAAGTACATTCACAATCTAGTGCAACTATCACCAATATCCATTTCCAAAAGTTTCATCATCCCAAACAGAAACTCTGTAATCATTAAGCAATATCTCCTCATTCCCTACTCTCCCAGCCTCTGGTATTTTTAATCTATTTTTTATCTCTACGAATCTGCCTCTTGTGATATTTCTTGATTCTTTGCATGGTAGACCAAGCACCTATCGGTATAAATGAAGCTCGTAGGCTGAGAGAAATGAAATAGCTTGCCCAGATTAACATGCCTGCCTTAATAGCAAAGAAGAATCTCAGACTCACATTTCCCAACTGCCTGGCTCTTTCCACCAAAATGCTTGACATCCTTTGAGTGAGAGTCACAGAATGAGTATCTGAAGCTGCTGTCTCCACTACAGGAGCCACTAGCCATATGTGGCCACTGAGCACTTGAAATGTGACTTGTTTGAATTGAGAAGTGTAATAATTATAAAATACACACCAGATTTTGAAGTTTTAGTGTGAAAAAGTAGCACAAAATAGCTCATAAATAATTTTTATATTGGTTACATTTGAAATGATACTTTGTACATATTGGGTTAAATAAGCTGTATTATTAAAATTAGTTTCACCTGTTGTTGTTTTTTAAGTGGTTATTTGAAAACTTAAAATAAGTGACTTACATTATATCTCTATTGAACAGCTCTGGTCTGAGGATTCATATTAGGACAGTACCTCTCCCTTCAACTCTTTCATGTCCTCTCCCACTTGTACCCCCAATGTATAGTCTTTATTCTGTAGATACACACACACACACACACACACACACACACACACACACACACACACACACACACACACGAGAGACCTGACAATTAAGTTCGCGAACTTGTAGCAGTGACG